TGTGTGTCAGCCCCCACTGTCGCCCACCCAGGAAGCGTCCCAGGAAGCCTGGAGTCTACCACTGCACGGACGCGTGGGAGCTGGTGGGCTGCGTGTGTGGCCGGCACCAAGCGAGAGCAGCCTTGGTGCGGACAATTGCTGGAGTCAGAGCCTACACTCCTCCTTCCTCCTTCCTCCTCCTCTTCTTCCTCCTGCTCCAGGGCAGCAGCAGGGCCCGGATGGACTGGCTCCACCGGAACACCCCGCTTCTCACCCCGACCCCACTGCCCAGCCCCCATGTCTCCCCCGACTGCTGCCCCCACCCCTGCCCCTCCAGCCCTCCCTCCACACAGCATGCAGGGCCCTGCTCAAATCCCTCACATGGGGTGGTGCTGTGGTTAAGCTGCTGGGGGACAGCTGTAGCCTGTAACAGAGCACCTGGGTTCAAGTCCTGCCTCCTCTTCTGACCCAGCTCTCTGCTGTGGCCTGGGAAAGCAGCAGAAGGTGGCCCAAGTGCTTGGGCCCCTGCACCCACGTGGGAGACCCAGATGGAACTCTTGCTCCTGGCTTTGTCCTGGCTGTTGTGGCATTTGGTGAGTGAACCAGTATATGGAAGTGTACTCTCTCTCTCTCTAATTATCTCTAATGCTGCCTTTCAAATAAATTAAATATTTAGAAACCGGAAAAGCCAAGCTCTTTGCTTCCCACGGCGCAAGCCCCAGGACCGTTGTGACAGCACGGGCAGCCGATGGCGACCCCGGCCCTGTTTTCTCTACCACTGGACCTGCCTGTCAAAATCCCTCTGCACGGACGCCCAGAAACACTGACGCCTGAACACTCAGGGCCGAGCTGTCCCTCACTGCTGCACGCCAAAGCTGCTTCAGGGTGCCAGGGGGTCGATCAGCAAACGAAGTGTGGTGGAGGCATTCGTGGCTGACCTCGAGTGGCCAGTCCATGGTGCACAGGCTCAGCCAGCAACGGCCACCCTGTGGTCCCTGAGTCTCACAGAGGGCGAGGGACTGCTGGGTGCATGACGTGCTGAGAGCTGGCGTCACACTACAGCCAGGCCTCGAGAGGGGGCAGTGACCTCTCCACACTCACGCTTCCTCCCCTGAGCACTGGCCGGCTCTGACTCCAGTGGCCTGCAGGACAAAAGGCCACAGTCGCCTGGTACAGGCTGGCTCTGCGAGAGGCCACCTAGTCTGTCCCAAGTCCATCAGCAGAACCCAGCACCTCGGCCTCCCAGAACGGCGGTGCAGCCGACGACGCCCGCAGCTTTGAGTTCAGATCTCTTCCCCACGCTGCTCCTGCATCCAGCGCTCTGTGAAGATACTGGGCAGGGGCAGCAGGCGCAGCTCCCAGCAGTCCGCGGGGGAAAGCAGGTGGATTAAGCATGCTCTAGACTTGGTGGGGTGGGGGGCTGCATTCTGCAGTGGGCTTCCCATGGCAGGTGGGGGCACATGTTCTTTTGGGGACAGGACGTGCACAGAGGTGGCTGAATGACAGGAGGTCACTCCAGCACGGCTGCTATCTTTGTAGGGCGACATGTGGACACAGACACACGTGGGAGGAAGACTGCTGAGTGTACCGAGACGGCGCCGTCTGCAATCCAGGGAGCCGGGCCCTAAGAGGACCACACCTGCTGACATCTTGATGGTCCAGACTCCGGAATCTCAAGAAAACGCCCTCTGCAGCTGAACCACCGCCCCCTGCTGGTGGGCAGCCCTGGCAGGCGGAGACGGCCCCCACACTGCTTCTCCAGGAGCCCGTTCCGGGACGGAAGGAGGGCAAGTGACGTGGACGTGGGCTCTGGGGACACAAAACAGGCTGAGGAAAAGAACGCGACGCAGCAGCACCATCACTTTCTGTGCAGAGCTGACTGGCACGCACGCACACAGACACGTGCACACAGGAGCACGTGTGCACACATGCACACACATGCACGGGTGTACATACACAACACAAACATGTACACACATTCACATGTGCACACAATACACAAGCGTGCACGTGCTCGCATACTCACATACACACCACACAGTACACATGTATGCACATACATACAACTGTGTGCAATGCACACACGTGCTCACGTTCACATGTGCACACATATATACACACAGGTGTGCACACGCATATCCACACACATGCAGAAGGGCACCCACACGCTGCTGGGGCAGAGGACTGCCTCTAGGCACTGACTCCCACCCCGGGTCACACAAATGGCAGACACGCCAGGGCCGAAGTTCCGAAAACACCAAGGAGCACAAATAAAAGAAGTCACCTCTCAGCTTCCTATTCTTCTCCATGTCTCCCTCCTCTCCCTCCTGTCCCCCTCCCTCCTGTCCCCCTCCCCTCCTGTCCCCCTCCTTCCTGTGCCCCTCCCTCCCCTCCCTTCTGTCCCCCTCTCTCCTCCTTCCCCTCCTCTCCCTCCTTTCCCCTCCTTCCCTCTCTCCTCTCCTCCTCCCCCCTCTTCTCCCCTGCCTCCTGCTCCTCCCCCTCCTGCCCTGCTTCCCTCTCCTCTCTCCTCCTACCTTGTATGCTGATGTTTTTATTTTCTATTTTGTAAATTCACATGAATTTTGGCAAATTGCCTTTTCCCTGAGCAGTGAGCTACGAGCATCTTCCCCACGTTATGAAAAATTCATCTCACGGCTTTTGGTGGCTTCCCAGAAGCCTGTGCCTCGACGGACTCCCCGGGCCCTCTCGGGCACGCGCTGCTTCCTGCCTTCACATCAGCGCTGAGACAAACATCCCCGTGGGCCTGTCTCTGGATGCATCTTGGACCGTTTCCCTAGGGCCCATTTCCTAGAAGTGCAGTTACTAAGTCACTCCTGTTTCCACAGAGCGAGCGCCTGAAACACACTCGCTCCCCACCGCACACACGGAGAGGTCCTCGGGCCGTGTCGGAACTTTGGGCGTCTTTGAAGAAAGAAAGGAAGGGAGGGACAGCCTAGGTCATGGCCTGGTCAGGGCAAGATGCAGGGAAGGCGGCGGGAGCCCCGCCTGGGGCGGGGGCGGAGGGCAGCTCGCTGCGCCTGTAGCACGCGTTTTACCGATGGAGAAACCGAAGCACAGAGAGAGGGAATCACGCAGATGCCCGAGCAGATACTGCGCGAGAGGCCTGAGGGTGGAAATCCACTTATCCCTGCCCCAGTGATGGAGGGCTTGACGCTTCCGCCACACCGTCCCGGGCAGGATCTGGGGGTGCTGCTTCTGCACAGCACAGCAGCGGGGGCCGCGTCCTGCTCCGCCTTTATGCCCTGGCTGTGCAGGGCCGGGAGGCTGCGGCTGCTGTGCTCCCAGGGACACCCAGGTGACAGTAAGCACGCCCACCTGGCCCTTCACTCGTCATTCACACACAGCACTGTGTGGACGCGGCGGGAACAGCCACAAAGGCACCCACAGGACCAAGCATATTTGCAAAAACAGAAAAGCAGGAAGGAAAACAAGAGGACACCCCCGCCCCAACCTGCTTGTAGCAAGAGGAGAGTGCAACCAAAAATGTCTACTGGATTTTCCTATCTTGAGAAAACAGGATGTGTTCCTGGGTAAAACCAGGTCTTTGCAGTCAGGTGGGCCAGGGCTCTAATGCTGCCGGCCTCCAGTTACGCGGCCTCGGGCAAAGCCGCTTCCCTTCTCTGGGCTCCTCCCCTGCAGGATGGGGCGAACCCGTCCACCTGCTGCTGGGAGCAGTTGAAGTCAGAGTCGCATCACAGCCTCTGCACCGGGCCTGGCAGGGGGCAGGGACTCAGCACTGCCAGCTCCCACGCTGGTGAGCGCCCGCCAGGGCCAGGGGTACTGAGTGAGGGGAACGAGCACCATGACGAAACCCCAGGCAGGGCCGGGGTGAGTCCGCGGAACCTCCTGTTCATGGTGGAAAATCGGTTCTCTAGTGGCTCACGACCGCAGCGAAGGCAGTAGAGAATGAACTGCGTCCGCACCCCCCCCCCCCGCCTTCTGGTTCCCACCGTGACTTCCCCGTATGAGCTGCACACTCCCCCACGGGCCTGTGGGATTCCAGGCACCCCCAGACTGCATGTGGGGGAAAACCTGCCAGGAACGCAACCCAAGCTCATTCCGGAACCTCTGTGAGACAGAAAACAGGTGCTGCCCAGCGTCTCCCGAGAGCCATGGCTAACCTGAGCCTGCAGAGGCATGGAAGCTTCCGCATCTTCTACTCGGCCCCTCCCCCACAGAGAAACACAAATGGCGGGGATTCAGGCTGCTGGGGGGGGGCGGGGGTGTTGAGCATCTGTCAACACCCCTGGAGCAACAGGTGGTAGCCCAGGAACGGAACCAGCTCTACACGCGCCCACCCCGGGGAAGCAGGCAGCCGGGGAGCAGTCAGCGGGGCGCTGGCTGGGGCGTGCCGGTGCGTTCAGAGCCCTCCCAGGCAGGGCTCCGGGCACAAGCGTTGTAACTTTGAAAGCTTTCTTTGCAGACCATGTTTTAGAGCCCGAGGCATACTTTCTCAGGGCGGTGAGGGTTCCAGGCTAGCCCACAGCCCACAGACGCCTCCTTGCCCCAGGACAGCCCGGCTCTGAGGTTACTGAGCTCCCAGGATCTCATGTGCCACATATGCCTTTTCAAGTTTCATCATCACCATCATCACCATCACCATCGTCCTCCCTCTGTGTGCTGATCTCATTAGGATAATAGCTGAAAAATCACCTGATTGCATTAAAACACACTAAGTGTGACTGACTGATGGGACAGCCTTGTAACCAACAAGGACGCGCACTGATCCCAGCGTACCTGTGTTTTGGGAGGACAGCAAGGTCAAGCGGCTGGGCGCAGGGGTCACAGCAGGGCAAAGGCGCCTATGGCGGCACTCAGAGCTGCTTCCAACTTCCCCCTCCCTCTTCTGGGCCCCACAGGGCTTGGGGAGCAGCTCCTGAGAGCCCCTGGGATGCGGGGGCTGACAGGCAGTTTGCAAACCGGTGGCTCCTCAATCGGGGTCATCAGCGGCGCCACCGCGTGCACACAGGTGAACCGGGGGTCTCGGCTCCGACACTCACCTGTCTCCTCGGCTGCTCTCGCTTCACGCTCTCAGTGCAGGGACCCCTGGGAGAAAACAAGATTGGAGAGGCATGTGAGGGGGGCTCGTGCTGCCCACATCACACCTGTGCTGAAAAGCTCACGCTGGAGCCAACCCGGCCTTAGAAACACGGACTGCGTGTAAAAGCTGAGCTTTCTGGCTCCTCTGGGGCCGCCTGTCAGCAGGGGAGGGATGGGCTGGAGCCACGGGGAGTTGTCCCCTCTGTACCCACAAATGCCGCCAGCCTCACCCCGGCAGGCCCTGTGGGTGCTGGAGGCTGCAGCTCCGGCCCCGTCGACCGACTCCCTCAGTTGTCTCCCTCTGAGAGGACACCTGAGACTGTGGAGGGAGCCGTCCGGCTCAGCCCAGGACACAGGCAGGGACAGCCGGACTCCCAGGCCCCACTGCTCCAGCCCTGGATCCCTTCCAATCTCCATGGCCTGGGGCTGTCGGGGGCACCGCCTGGGGCCTAACGGGGGTGGGGAGAGGTGAGCTGCGGAGCTCCTGACCAAGGACACTGCAGCTCCGGGGTTGGGGGGAATCCCTTCACTGCCACCCCGCCTCCTACGGGGGTGCAGGGGACCATGCACAGCCAGGATCAGGGAAGGCTGTAGGGGGTAGGTCCCTGACAGTAGCCAAGGATGCACCCAGCCCAAGGTGATGCCAGTAGAGGGGCTGGGAGGCTCAGCACACCAACACCTGCTGCCCCTGCACCCCAAGTCCAGTGATACAGCTGTCCGGATGGAGAGCAGACCTCAGGGGCGAAGGGGACCCACCTGGCACAGGGACCTGAGGTCTCGCTGCCCCAGACACCCGCAGGGACCATCAGCCACCATGAGCTGGCGAGCGCTGCCTGGCACCAACCCTTCCTGAGCGGGCCTGGGCTGGGGTTCACTGCCTCCCGCAGCCCGGCCTGGGCCCCGGCTCCCTGTGCTGTTCCCACCCCCTGGACACCATTCAAGTTCCCCTCAGTCCCGAGCCAGGCTGTCCCCTTCCTGGAAGAGCAGCCCGGGCCGCAGTTCCTGGAGCTCCACGCCGTATGGCCAGCTGGCCAGCACAGTCACGGGGACGGACAGGCGGCCAACAGCACCCTCCCCACGCCTCTCACGGACGGCCACGTGTGGGCTTTGGAATCTGCGCCAACACCTGCTCTCCACACAAGGGGAAACTGAGGCCAGGCCAAGGGTGGGGCTCGCACTGGCTGCACAGCCAGGGAGCGGCAGGGCCAGCTGTGCTTGCCTGCCAGGCTGTCCCCTTCCTCTTGGCCTGGGACAGGGGCGACCACGGCCAGCTAAGGAGACTGGAGCCCAGCTTGGGTGGCACATCCAGCCTTAGCGATAGGGGCAAGCTCCAGTACACCCTGGGCGGGCACCAGGCAAACCCAAGAGCCGCCGGAGCCTCCTCTTGGCCCCTGTAAACGGTGCTCAGCACAAGCTGACCGGTGTGTGAACAGGGTGGGGGTAGGGCTGGGCGTGATGAGGGTGGGGCTGAGCATGACGGGGGGCCGGGCTGGGCTTGACGGGGGCCGGGCTGGGCTGGGTGGGGCAGGTCGCGGCAGGGGCGGGCTTAGCAGCCACCTGGGCGGTGGCCAGGATACTGCCCTCTGCAGAGGCCCCCACGGCCCACGGCGGCACAGCTGCCCCTGGTCACTTAGACACTGCCTGACTGCTTAGCTCCACGCACCTGCTCCCCTTTACAAACATCATGTTTTAAAATTTTGATCGACATTATCATAGCTGTAGATTTCATCGGGTACAGGGTGACATTCGACACCAGCGGGCGACGTGTAATGGTCACAGCAGGGACATGGATCGTTTCTTTGCATTGGGCCCACACAAACCCCTCTCTCCCCGCCGCTGTCACCACTGTGGTCCTGCCGTGCTGGGGAACAGGGGAAGCGACTCCTGGTCTCCAGCTTGCAGCCCTGCACCTGTTAACTCTCCTCTCTCCACCCCTCCCGCCCCCGGCCATGGCAACTGCTGCTCTGCTCGCTGCTTTCGGGAGCGCTGCTTTTTCTGGCTGCCACATGAGGACCTATGCCTGCACCGGGCACGCCTCGCTTGGCATCGAGCCCCCCAGCTCGGCCACGGTGCTGCCCGTGACAGGTGCTCGTCCTTGTTCATGACTGAGCAATATTCCGTTCACTTGCTGACCCCTGCAGGCCCCTCCCTGACATCTCAGTCCACAGGAAGGGGGAAGCTCAGGCACCTGTGCATCTCGGCATCTTTCCCGTCTTGTTCAGCCAAGCCCACCTGCTCCCCACCCAAGGCCCTGAGCTTGTGGGCGTGTCCTTGGGTTGCAGGCAGCCAGGCTCCTCGCCAGCAGTGGCCCCGTCCTCGTCAGCAGGACCTGCTGGGTTCAAGACTGAAGACCTGTCCGTCCCCACTATGCACTGTTAACTATGCAAGAAAGGACACCCCAGTCCCCAGCCCAAGCCAGTGCTGTGGCGAAGGGGGCTCTCGGATCTCACCCACGTCGACAGCAGCCGTGAACCCCACATTCAACCTGTCATCACTAAAGGTGAAAGGCTGGGAGGGGAATAACAGGTGGGGAAACCCCTGGCTCCCAGCCTGGAAGGTTCTGGAATGACAAGAGAGTGAAGCAGGTGAGGGCTCGCCCGAGCACAGGGCTGCTGTGGGGTGGGGGACTGAAGCCACCGCAGCTGCCGGGCTGTGATTCTCATCCCAGATGGCTGGTGACCACCCCGGGTCCCCTTACAGTCAACAGCTGCGATGGGGCTGAGCTCAGCACAGTCTCAGGTCGGGGGTCCTGACCCCAGCTTTGGGTTGGGAGCAGGCCCGTGTAGGTGGCTGATGGGCCACGGAGACAGCTGAATGGACGCAAACATGCAGGACACCTTGGGGATACCCACGATCCACACGGGGTCCCTCTCACAGCCACCCAGCAAAGGGACCTGGGGCCCGGTCTGTACCCACCCTTCCGGTCACAGTGTTCCCCTGAGGCCCCGGGGGGGCCGGAGGCGGCAGTGCAGTCTAAGAAGCCAGGCGGCAGCGGGCCGGCACCGAAGGAGCTCTCACAGCCTGGGCTGGAGGAAGGCCACTGGGGGGCAATCCAGGGGGCTTCACAGAAGAACCGGCGCAGCTTGGGGACTCGGGTGGGAGGCTGGCTCCACCCTGAGGGCAGGGGGTGGTCATGTGGCTCCAGCGTGTCTTTTGTCCTCAGTGACACCGCTGCTAAGTCACTAAAGCCATGAGTCCTTGGCTCCCAGGGACCCCAGCTTGCCAGCTCAAGTCCCACCTCTTCCAGGAAGTTCCCCAGGATTGAGTTGGCCCACACAGATCCCACAGCACCAAGGCCCTGAGCACATACCCTGTATGTCTCGCTTCGGAGGGAGGAACCCTGGGCCCCACCCCGGCTCTGCCCCCTCCTCTCTGTGAGGCACCGGGCAAACACCAGTCCCTCTCTGGGCCTGATTCCTTGTCTGTGGACAGGGGCTTGTGTCAGGTGAGGGCTCCCCAGAGTGAGCTCCGACAGACACCCAAGTTCCGAGAAGGTTCCTGACGCAGGCACCACGGGCAGATGCGCTGGGGAGCTGTTTCACGGGGGCGGGGGGAGTGGGGAGCCCCACACCCCTGGCTGACATCACGAAGCAATGCATACGGCAAGGTCCCGAAAGGTTCTGCAGGGTGCAAACCAGCTCAGCGTCCCGCGGCCCAGCGCCGCCTGTGCTAATCTGACCTTGGAACACGAGAGCTGCCTTCCTCAAACGTCCTGCCGATCTCTCGGGGAGGCAAGCCCGTGGCCTGGTGGCGCAGGTGCCCCACTATCTGGGTTCAGCTCCCACCTCAGGCTCCCGATGCCGGCCTCCTGCTAACACAGACACTGGGAGGCAGCAGTGATGGCTGAAGCGTCTGGGTTCCTGCCTCTCACATGGGAGACCTGCGCTGCATTCCCGGGATCCCAGGTTCAGCCCAGCCATGGCGGGCATTTGGGAGTAAACCAGCGGACGTCAGTGCACGCTCGCTCTCTCTGCCTCTCACCTCTCACTGCCGCCACCAGGCCCCGTCACGACCCCCGCAGGTGTCTCTCCTCTGGGGGCCGCATGTGGGCACTGGAGACAAGCTCCGTGCCTGAAACACACAGCGCGTGTTCAAATACACTGGACTCCGGGGTTCAAACACTGACCCAGCCACGGGGCTTTGGCACGTGCCAAGAAAGACTTCAGCTCCAAGTACCCTGCCGGGCTCCCCCGACCTCGCTCACCTCTCAGGAAGGGGCTGCAGGACCAGCAGCAGAGACGGAGACCACCAGCCAGAGAGAACACACTTCTCCCACGAGGCTGGAGCCAGTGTTTGTGAGGCCTCGCCCTCAGGTGTGGGGGTGGGGACTGGGCAAAGCAGACGCAACCCCCCACCCCACCCCCGCCTCCGTGGCACCAGACTGGAGCCGCCGCGGAGGAGAAAACAGGCTCTTATCCTCGGCGGAGCTGGCAGCGGCGTCGCGATTTCCAGCGTCCTTCTGAAATCGGAGTCGACACGGGAGCATTTTTCCAAATCAGTGACACCGCTGCTGTGAGGGCTGTGGCAGGGCTCAGCAGCCCACAGGAGCCGCGAGGGGAGGCCGTGCTGGGGCCCCGCACGCTGACTTCCAGCCCCGCTGCCACCTGCCGGCCCGGGGTCTCCGATGACGCTTGGGGATGCCACCGGGACGTTCGGAAAGGCCACCCCCGGGCACTGTGTCCTGGCATGGGCTCTGGGGACCTGGGTCAAGGGTGTGAGAGGTAGAAGCAGGGGCTGGAGGTGCCTGAGACCCAAGGTAAGATCAGCAGGGTCAGGGCCCTGCCGAGTGCCGGCCGGTGTCGGGTTTCCGTATTGGTTTCCCTGCTCGGTCAGGATTTGACGCAGACAGCACCGGTGTGAGTTACAGAATCCTGACCCCTGGCCTCCGGGGAGGCTGCGGAGGGATCCAGGCCGGGGTCTCAGGAGGAGCTGTGGCCAGGGAGCACCCAGAGGCTGGGGACAGAGAGCCCTACAGCAGATGCGCAGCCCCGGGGCAGCAGTGATGC